AACGACTATTATAGCTGGTAGCTAAATTAGGTAGACGGTGTTTCATTAAAGAACTATTAAGATATGTTGATTAACAGGCAGGGAGATAAAATTAGAGGTAAAAATGGTTATTAATATTGAAAAAAGTCTCTTGTACGAGGGATAAGTGAAAAGTTCCTGCCCCTAGCCGATTGATCTTCACCAAATTAAAAAAAAAACATAGATATCTACGTCAGACAACAAATGAGGCCGTAGAAAAGGATAAGATAAAACATAAACTAAATAGAAACTGTAATAAAATTGAAAAATTACGATTATTTTCATCTCCTCCTCTCCTCTTCTATGTTTATCAATCTCATGATAATTTTCTTGTCCTGTGCTACACTATGGCATTTCTTTATAAATTCTTTCTATATAAATTCGAAGAATATACGATTTGACGGAACTCATCCCTAGGAGAGAGTCAGCGAATGGTGCGCATTGGGTAATTATGCGCATCAATTTTTCTAATCTATTTACTAATGTGACTTTAAAATAAGCTTATTTTGATGTTTAGGTTTCCAATTCGGAAATCGTACTTAAAATACGAAACATTAATAAACCTTTTTTAAATAAAACGATTTTCGAAGTGAAAATCAAAATGTTAAATTAAACTTATTGTAAAGTAAAATTGTGACATATTCCCAATAAAAAACAGCAAGCTACCATTTAAATCAATTCTTCAACTTCTCCTTTTCTGTTAAATTTATTATTTTCACTAATGCATTTTTGACGATATAAAGGGCGGACCTAATATACCTCTCTCTTTTTAAACGGTTGTTTCTTACTTCATCTCACGAAAGGTCCATACCGACCATAAACTTTTACCTACACGGTAGTTTAAAAAGTATATATTATACACGTTATTCGTTTACCATTTTAGACACTAAGATAGTTAGCTTTTTCCGATTTTGTTACGTTTTGTCACTGCCATAAATTCTCTTAATGAAATCGAATATAGATTTTTCAATCAAACGATCCTTATTAACATTTTGCAACAAAATAAGTCTTAACGTTCATATAACATGTTTTATTTAGAAAGGCCATTATTTTTCAGTTGCCAAAATATCAACGAAAAAACATCAAGGCGTCCAGGGATGATGAAAGAATATTTCAGAATTAATATTCCAGGTTCAATATTCCAGAATCTTTTCTTCGAAAATGTAAGAAATTTGTTGATGATGGACGTGACATCGTAAATCCTGATGTTAAAAAGCGTTGAATTTTTTCCCTCGATCAAGAAAAACACTTATTCAAGCACGTTTTAAAGATAGCGAAATTATTTCATTTTTTGACCAGAAACCAGCTGAGAGGACGCATTTTCATTTACGAATTCTAGTCATATTAAACATAATTTTATTGCTTAGAAACAAACGGCAGGCAAAGACTGGTATTATGACTTTCTAAAGAGATCCAATAATTTCTCTGAGAAAGCTCGAACCCATCAGCATAAATAGGATCTCAGTTTTTAATAGAGAGCAAATTAACATCTTTTTAAATAATTTGCAACAATTATATATGAAATTTAACTTTAACAAGAAAAACCGACTTTTTAACGTTGACGGGAGCTGAATTACCACCGTACGAAATAATTTTTTAAAAAAGGGACAGCATATTGGAAAAAACTCCGTGACGAATTCTGTCGAAAGCTCTCGAAAAATCAGTGTATATAACGTAAACATGACAACTCTTAGCTAAATAATTTCTATACATTTCAATTTATGAACGGCAAAATCCGCATCAAGCAAGAAGCGCATGCCCTTTGCCTTTAAGTTGCTCATAAACTGGAGTAGCATAAACAGCAATTAGCAATAAGTTTATTAATTAAATTAAAAATTTGTTTCCTCATTACCAAATCTAGAACTTTTCTCGTTGCCCTCGTAAGTCAATATTTTGTTTTACGTTTCTCTTTAAATTGCTTGAATTGAATCTATGATAGTCAACCAAACGTGAAGGATTTTCCACGTTAATCAATTTTTTCAAACACGTTCTTCCTGTTTTTATTCCACATACACAATGTTGCAGTCGAATTCTAGCATATTAGTAAAAACAATATTGAAACAAATGAAATCCCCGCCTCTCGACGCGTTAGTGTTCTGAGCTGTTGGACGTGAATCCCTGTCCTGGCATTTGGTTTTCACCTCTGGCTGCGTTGAGTAGTTGAGTTACTGTGACCAAATGCCCATCTTGGTAGTTAGTATTCGCCTCTGGTTGCGTTGAGTAACTGAGTTACCGTTGCTAACTACCCATCTTCCTGTTCTTTGTTTTTTTCTTTCTTTCTTTTTTCTTTTTTTGTTCTCCTGAAAAAGCTACATACAATTGTAGCGAAACGTCGAGATGAACCCACTTTTGGGTCACTCACAAATGACACGGTCCAAACCCGGAAGACGAATAAACTATAATATTGAAACAGTTTTCAAAATGGTGTTAAAAAAGAAGTCAACAATCAAATAAATAAATTCTTTACTATGTTGTCTCAAGAGCATGCTAGTAGCCTCTAGAAGTTTAGCAACTACAGTCACAATCTCTACACGGCTATTCTATTCAACCGATTATTCTACCGCAATACGGAAAGTAAAGGAAAACTACCGTGTTAAACTTCCCAAGAAAATCTCCTAGTTGATAGTTATTGCTAGGTACAACCCCTTAGTACAAAAAATTAACATTAGATAATGGAAATTAGATAATACTTGTCTTGATCCAGCTTCAGACAACAACAGGCAAGATTACAAAAATACGCTTCAACAACCAATAAAGTGACGTAGAAGATAAAGAATTTGACGAAGAACTCATATCTTTTTGGGAAACAGAACGTTTTCGGAATACATATTCAATTTTTAGTGCTACTACTAGGTATATATGTTTAAAGGTACAAAATATATGGGTGAAAAGCCTTTAAACATTATTTAATTGCTATTAAATAACATGGTCGCTAAAAATTTTTTAAGTATATTTACTTCTTGACAACGTAAACTGCTATCGAGGATTACTGGTCCGGAAACGCAGTTACATAATATGTATAAGTGGAATGATAACCAAATTAAGTAAAATCCTCAAACTAAGCTAGGTGCAAAAAAATAATACTGAGAGCCTGAAATGAGGAACAAATCCCGGAAGAGTGGTGTATTGGAATCGTTTGCCCGCTACACAAAAAGGGTGACCAATTGGAATGTAGAAACTATAGGGGAATAACCCTCCTTAATACAGCATACAAAATATTTTCGAGGATCATATATGGTCGCCTAAGTACATATTCAGAGGAACTTCTCGGGGAATATCAAAGTGGCTTTAGGCCTGGTCGATCAACAACAGATCAGATCTTTGTGCTAAGGCAAATACTGGAAAAAACCAATGAATTCAATATCGATACATACCATCTTTTTGTAGACTTCAAATCTGCCTATGATAGTGTCCTAAGAAATAAATTGTATGAAGCAATGAATGAATTCCACATCCCCGATAAACTGATAAGATTGGTTAAGGCTACAATGCGTAATGTGGTTTGCAAAGTCGAAATACAGGGCGAACAATCACAGGCGTTTGGAACGCATGTTGGGCTGCGACAGGAAGACGCGCTGGCGTGTCTCCTTTTCAACATAGCACTGGAAAAGGCGATCAGAGATGCCCGAATAGAAAACAGAGGAAATATTTTTAATAAATCATCCCAAATTTTGGCATATGCAGATGATGTGGACCTAGTTGCCCGCACAACACGCAAGCTAGAAGAAATGTATACCACCTTCTCAAATGCCTCAAAATATATGGGCCTGCAAGTAAATGGGGAGAAAACTAAGATGATGGCATCAACACCCAACAATAGAGTCAGGAACATCGGTCCCCAATTCACGGTTGATAACTCTACCTTTGAAGTGGTTGACAAATTCACATACTTAGGCTCCCTGATCACCAAAGAGAACGCCATAACGGAAGAAATCAAGCGAAGGATAATAATGGCAAACAGATGCTATTTTGGACTGAGTAGACATATGAGAAGTAGAAACTTAAGCCAAAAAACAAAAATAACTATATACAAAACCCTTATACAGCCAGTGTTGACATATGGATCGGAGACATGGACCATCTCCAAGGCAGACGAAGACCTTTTGCTTATATTTGAACGAAGGATCCTGAGAGGAATATTTGGTGGCATCTGTGAAAATGGTGTTTGGAGGAGGAGATACAACTACGAGGTATACCACAGATATAAACAAATATTTGGTGGTAAAGACGTAGTATCTCTTATAAGAATAGGAAGACTAAGATGGGCAGGACATCTAGCAAGATCACAGCAGAACAACCCTCCTAGAAGAATCCTTATGTCACAACCCGTGGGAAGTAGAAAAAGGGGTAGGCCAAAACTCAGATGGAAGGATGGTGTAGATGAGGATGGTAGAAAGATAGGCGCAGCAAACTGGCAACGGTTGGCAATGGATAGGACTGCCTGGCGTAATAGACTTGGGAAGGTCGAGGCTCTTTCATAGGGCTGTAGCACCATTGATGATGATGATGAAGCTAGGTGCAAAGACTTGCTTGAAAGAACTTGTAGAAAAATCTACATCATTTTTCCAGAACACAGAATGACAAATTTGATCGAAAGATCGCTAAAAGAAAATGATATATGTTCAAATATCTTCCTTGACTATACAGAAACCTTTATATCCAAAGATATTAGGACGCCCCGTGAAAAGATGTAGTCAAGTTTTATGACAGATTAAAAGAAAAAGTAAACATCTTTATCCTAAATTATACAAAAGAAGAAATTATTAGTGTTGGGAGCTTGTAATCACACTCCTGTGTGTGAAATTATTAAATAATCTCAAGTTATATAGATGCTAGTTCACTAATTAACTTATTCGCTGTCAAACTTTTGAATAGATAAATATTTAATGATAATATTTGTGAGAATTTTGGACGCTTAGTATTTAATACAGAATCATACAATGATAGAAATAAGATACTTATAATAGATGTAGTTCACTTACCGGTTCTCCAACTCTTCCAGACGTTGAATTAAGAGTTACGTTGATAAGATCGTGAAGAGGAGGTCTTTCAGGTACCCATTGGAAATGAGCAGCATACGCCATGACACCTAAGTGCTCTACATTTCTGTCGGCCATATCCTTTGCTGACAAAACCGGTTGAACGCCTAGAAAAAAATTTACTATCTCTTAATTCTATTCCTTAAAATGTATTTCATTTTATATTTGTTTACCTATTGTGGCTTAATCCCATATAAACAATAATAGGCACTACAAGAAGAAGAAGACCTACTTTTTTTCTATATATCGATGAAAGAAATGCTTGTCTCCATTATTTGGAGCACTCTCTTCTTTCAAACCCATAAATATATGCTAGTATTTTAAATACTTGTCTAGGAGGCTAGAGGTGAAAGATATGAATTATTCCAAATCATACTTGGAGGTAAAGTACAGGGCAAAAGATCAGTTGGAATATGCTAGAACTCGTGGCTGAAAGACCTGAGAAGAGGGTTTGACCGCTTATCCAATGAAATCTTTCTGCAGCAGTTTCCAAAGCTACAATTGCCATTTGCACGGCCAGAATCAGCAGAAATTATGTGTCGTAGATTTAAAATTTAAAAATTGGGTTTGACGATATTATTATTGAAGTATATTATTATGGTAGTAGAGTTTAGACCCTATCTCTTGTTAACGCTGATTGAACTGATTTTGGTTACGATTATAATATTGACTTATCAATAAAAAACGAAAAAGTACAATCTTTATTTTGTAAAGTAAAGCCAATAAAGCATGGTGTGGTATTAAAGAACCCAATATCACACCATTCTTTACTGGATTAAGTGTTCCCTTACAGTTACGTATCCCAATTTCTTTTTCCAGATATCATCTTTTACTTTTTTCGTTGCTTTTATTTCTCTTCTAACCCTAAGATATTCTTTAGTACCAGCTGGAGCATTTGTCGCTAGCGATTTTTCATACAGTTATTGCTTTCGTTGTTTTGGAACTATCACACCACCCCAGATTTTTCATCTTGCATTTGTCTCTAAATTTTCATAGAATTCATCAGCTGAACTTTCTACCGAGAAGTTCTGCAGTTTGTTGGCAAGTCTTAGCTGGGACCGATATCTAGTGGAATCGTCATTCAAACTACCCAAAAAGTTCTGTGTGAGATTTAGAGATATGATTTTATTGTTGTAAACAATATTTTAACTTATACAAAAAAAGTGGTGCATCACGTTATAATTTATTTCTCCCACGTTATAATTTAAGCCTTTTCTCCATGGTGGCCTACTATAAAGTTATTGGTGTTTTGCCAGTTCTTCCATTTATAAAACCTAGCAGTACCATTTCTGTATGGTTACCCAGAGCATATTACTAAGTCATATCCCTTTAATTTTAGTTTTAATTGGATTATTCGCTCCTTAATCTAATACTGACCAAAATAGAAACTCTTTCTTTTGCTCTCATATCTTTGGGAATTTGCTTTTGCTCTCATATGGATGTAATCGTTTCGTTCTTTAATTCCTCTGTCGCGCTTTTTAGTTTCTGCCCTGTTTTTTAGTATGTGTAAAAATGTCTACGTTGTGTTTCTTCAGTCCTTGTGTTATATCCGTATATTTACTGGTTAAATTTCTCACATTCCAGGTTCCAAAAATTATGGTTCTTTTTCGTTTGCAGGGTGTTCTTTTGGTATACTGACTGTTTTACCAGACTAGATGCCAATTTTAGTTCTTTTGCTCTATACACCATGATGATATACATCAGTGTCTTCTGCCGTCAATACCATTGAAAATTCTTCTTGTGTAACCCAAAAAGGAAACCTTAAAAGATGCTTTTAGCCGGAGCCAGCTGAACCCGGTTTTTTTACCCCTCTATCATACAGACCACAGGCTTAGGACTGATACAGCAGAGTTGTGTTTAAATCATAATTGTTTTAGCGTATGAAAGTTAGTCCCTCTATATTTTTGGATTTTGGTTAAAACATTTCTTTTGCTTAGTTTTGGTAGAGTACACAGTTTCGTTAGGACATCTTGTATAATAAAATGTCAGTATAAATAAATGTAAAAGAGACATTGATTTCTTAGATTATACGAATTAGAGTTTAGTATATAGAATATCATGGCTTGGAAATTAGTGGACAGAAGAATATGCAGCTAAAAATGTGCAATACCAAAAATATCGAAGATATCGTAAAGAAAATAATGACTGTGTTAAAGACTTAATAATAACATGTCTAATAAATATTTTTATTGATGACGAATATTTGTCTAACAATATCGACAAAACCACTTCACACTATAAACATATTTTTAAACAAATCTACCTGCTAAAAAATCATGTGGGTCGACGTTAATCAAGAGATTATTACAATAATTATTAAATCATTGCACAGTCAAGGCCAGATTATGTAAATTGTTTGGTACAATCAGTGACGGTAAATCAATTATTTGTTTTTATTGTTCATTATATGTGGCGAGAAAAGTGTTTTAGCTGTATGTCAGCTTTTCAAAGCCTTGGAATTCACACATCAATACACCACAAGAGCACACAACATGCACACGCAGCCTCTAGAGCGACCAACCCTCTTATATGATCTAACTTTATCAAGGAACGTGTAGAAATTAACTTTAACATTTTCAACTTTAAGTGAAAGATTGTCATAAAATTTATATTGGACCAACGGATAAAGCCCAAGAACACGCATATTTGAACACAAAAAATCAATTACCTGCCAACTTTATTTATTTTATTTCTTATTTAACCTTCCCTTTTTGTATTAGTTTTCATGAGAGTATTATTTTTGGCATCCTTTCCTATTCTCTCATTGTGTCCTAAATACCGTATTCTGTGCTTTGATTAAAGTCGTTATTTCTTACTCTATTTAATTCTATTAGTCATTATGCCTTCTTTTATATTGCACATCTGTTTTAGTCATTCATATATTGCTCTTTGTATTTCCTCCTTCATCTTCTGTCTAAGTATATGTAGACTAGAGAGGGCGAGTTAATCTTTTAGCACTTAGGCCACAATTAATCCATTATGCATCCTCCCAGGGAGCTTTCGTCCTTATCTCATTGTAAATCCTTTCATTTCTAGGAAGGTGGACAAATTACCAGGGGACATCTCCCTTATGTATGCAGGTGTGGGCTAGGACTCGCCGAACACGTACTCGTAATAACGATAACCTTGGGCATTCACATAAGACATGCTTACAGTTTCGTCTTCTCGTTCACACTTTCTGCAAAGAGGGGTCTACTAGCCCCAGTGTATAGAGGTCTTTCTTTAGTTATAACAATGACCAGTTAAAAAACCAACTGTCAAGCGTAGGTTTTTTCCCGCCATTCCCAAGTACTTCTTTGATGCTGACTTTTCAAGGTTACTACGTCCTTGCTCTTCTTCCCATCTTTTTACGGTTTGGGATTGACATTTAACAATTGTTGTAGTTGACCAACCAAAAAGATACCCGGGTCCTAGTCTTGGGTTTTCTTTATTCCTAGTGTGTCCTTAAACCACCTCATGATGATGACACGTGGTCTATTCAAGGTTAGTAGCGCTTGTCTGTTATCTGCGCAGATTATTATAGTATTCCCGGCTATACCATTTTAGGTTATCTCTTTTACGGCATGGAGATACCAGCCAGTTCTGTTTGAACTACGCTGGCATTTTTCCCATACCCCACTTTATTCTTAGGTTCAGTAATCTGGAGTATATCCCGCATCCTGAGCCTTCTTCCATTTTGGAGCCGTTGGTGTATATGCAATACGCATTTGCCACATTTGTCTCCCTATACTGGCTTCTTTGGATTTTGTACGGTTTGTCAAAAAAAAAAAATTGCTATTTCAAGGTTTGCATCAGCTGAGCACAGTCGCATCGTTGTCACCAGCGCCACCTCTTTGACATATATGTATAGAGGTGTAATGCCAAAAACCAACTCGATTGCAGCCGTTGGTGTTGTTTTCATGGCACCTGTTATATTTATGCAAGCTATCCACTGAATATGGTATAGTTTGTTAATTGTTGTTACCTGTAGCACTTTTAGATATAATGACAACCAATGACGTATAATATATAGACTACGCAGTCCCCTATTCTCGCTATAGAATCGAGTGTCCGAAAGATCTCGGCTCAAGGTTGAAGGTATGTTTATTAGAACAGCGGCGTGCTCATTTATATGTTAATGACAATAATTATTTTTTTAATTAAAATTAAATATTTATGATTTCTTTTTGTTCCCGTTTATAAGAGAAATAATTATTTTGATAAAATAGTATGGCATTGTACTAAAATAGTAAGTAAATAACTCTCAACAATTTAAAATAAAATTTGCTTGTCACACAAAATGGAGAAAATGTTTTCATACGGCTATGATGTTTTCAAACACAAGATCAACTTCGTGATGCTTCGTAAGAAATCATGAACTTCGTGCACCTTCGTATCAAAACAATAAACAATAACAAAGGTATTCATATTTTGGACACTTTTTAAAGCTTTCACCGAGTCTATATAGTATACGTCATTGATGACAACAGTGTAGATCCAGGCAATCACCCTAGGCGAGAGGCCTCAGGGGCGTCCGACAATTCGTCGGCATTGCTCGTAGGCAATATAATGCTCTCTTAATTCTACCCTCTAAGTGTAAGTTCCATGTTAACTTTTTGTCAAGGGTAATACCAATGTTCTTCACCTCGTCAGAAAAATTTAGACTGTAGTTTAGTATCTTTGGGAGTATTAAGCTCGTGATTTTTTTTCTGGTAAAGAGAACCGTCTCTGTCTTCTTAGGATTTATAGATAGTGAGTGTTCCATGCATTATATTCGTCGGAGAGTAACTTGTAATTTCTCGTTGCTGCCGAGCTGGTCAACCAGGGTGTCTAAAACTATGTTGCATAGGAGTGGTGATAGCATCCCTCCCTCTGGACACCCCCTCGTAATAATGCCTCTAACAGAAACGTCTTCTACATTTATGCTATAAGAGGGGATACGGAATATCCATTTGCATTCGGCTAGGGGAACATTCCTGACATTGAGCTATTGGGTGGTAGTTTAGAATATGGTTTTATTGAACGCTCTCTCAATGTTTATGAATATACCTAGACTGAATTTTTTATCTATCCTGTATTGGAATCAGACAGCAACAGTACGTCTTCAAAATTTCAACGAAACAGAAGATTTCTCCATTAAAAAAGGAGTAAGGCAAGGTTGTATACTGTCCCCAATGCTGTTCAATTTATACGTAGAAAAAGCCTTCGCAGAAGCAGTGGAAGACTCTAATAAGGGTATTAAAGTTAACGGCATATTAATTAATAACATCAGATATGCCGATGATACAGCCATAGTGGCAGATAACATCGAAGATCTTCAATGCCTTTTAAATGATCTAACTCTTGCAAGTGGAGCTCGGGGTTTGAAAATAAATATCAAGAAGACAAAATCAATGATTATAAGTAGAAATGATTACCCCAACGCAAAGATATATGTCTCTGGAGAAGAAATCGAACAAGTCAGGCAATTCAAATACTTGGGATGTTTGCTGAATGAGGGTTGGGACCCCGAGAATGAAATAAAGAGCAGAGTTGAACAAGCCAGAAATGCTTTTTTGAGGCTTCGTAAGTTTCTGACTGATCGCAAATTGGACTTCAACCTCCGATACAAGATGCTTAAGTGTTACGTGTGGCCTGTTCTCCTGTACGGAATGGAAGCATGGACGTTAAAGGCCAGTTCCATTAACAAACTTGAAGTGTTTGAAATGTGGTGCCTGCGTCGAATGCTCAGAATATCATGGACGGACAGGGTCAGAAATGAGGAAGTACTCAGAAGAGCGGGCTTACAGGATAGGGAACTTTTTAATTATGTAAAAAGTAAGAAGACTGCATACTTGGGGCACATTATACGAGGAGAACGATACACTTTTCAGCAACTGATACTCGAAGGGAAAATAGAGGGTAGGAGAGGTCTCGGACGTAAAAAAATGTCATGGCTGCGCAATATTCGACAATGGACAGGAATCCACAGCTATGAAATGCTTCGCAATGCTGCTAAAAACAGAATTATTTAAACCAGAATATTTAACATCTCACCTGACAAGACGATGTACGGTGGACGCCTACGCAGAAATGCACGGCACCTTAAGAAGAAGAAGAATTTTTTATTATCCAGCAATCTTTCAATTCTTCCCACTACTTGATGCAGTGCAGAATTAGTAGATCTTCTCGAAGTATATGCATGCTGTTTTGGGTAAAGTGGGTTATGATCCTCTTGTATAGCGTTTCTATCGTTTTTAAGAGAAACGATGTTAGACTAATTAATCGGAAAGCCTTTGGTAGAGTGTGGTCCATCCTACCTTGTTTTGGTATAAAGACCACGCGTACCACTCTCCACTTCCTAGAAACATATCTCAAAGCCAAAGAGACTCTGAATATTCCCACAAGGTGTGGCAGAAGGATATCCAATCCCCACCGTAGTAGAACTGGATATATGTCGTCAGGTCCTAATGATTTGAAGAGAGTGACGCACAATATGGTTCATCTTACCTTTTTCTTATTAATCATTGGCGCAGTGTTTTTTCAATCCAGTTTGGTGCTGTTGAGGTACTAGAACTAGAAGTGTATTTTCATCAGGATCTTAGCAATTTCGCAAAGGTTGGAAGTTTTACTTCTATCTTTCTTCGTTAATTTGCCGATATGCCAATATGGGTACTTTGAGAGCGCTTTTTGTAGCCTGAACAGAAGGTTCTCCAAGCAGCTATTTGTCTTTGTCTGCAGACTTTCTTAAACTCTCTGAAGTTTGATTGATAAGAATCCCAATCATCTTTGAGTTTAATGTGCTTTGCTCTATTAAAAGATGTTCTTGCTATACTTCTGAGGTGTTCCAGTTCAGTGCACTACTAAGTTTTGGATTTGGAATTTGTAAAATCTAATTTTTGTTTTTCCTTAGAGAAATTTTTAATATTTAATAATGATCACAATTCTCCTTACTTTTTGTTTCCTTCCATGTTTGTCTGTCCTGTGGCAGTAATTCCCATTGTCGCACTCCCATTTTCTCTAGATCTTCTTTGACTGCATCTTTCCACCTTATTCTAGGCCGCCCTACAGACCTTCTTCCATCTGGCCTTTCCCAGAACACATTGTTTATAAGGCGATTGTCGTTACTGCGTATCACATGCCCTGCCCATCTGAGTCTATTGGCCTTTCTTTTCCGAATAGAGACTCTAGCTCGTTATTGCATCTGCGCCTCCATTCGTTTGTCACGCTATCTCTGCAAGGGCCATATATCGTTCGAAGAATTTTACGTTCGCACACCAGCAATTTATTTATTATTACACCAAGGTAAGTAAATTTAAAATCTTTTGAACATGCATGTATTTTATTCATCTACTTCTAATGTGAAATTGTCTTTCTTTTCTTTATCTCTGTTTTCTATTATTCTATTATTCTCATAAAATTTGTCGTTTTTTACCGTTTTATGGTTTAAATTACATAATCTAAACATGCAATACATGCAATAATAATAAAATCATAATATTTTACCAAATATATAATAATTTATTGAATTTTGTCCAGTTTGAAGACTTTTTTCTTTTTGAAGGTTTTTTGATGTTGCAATAATGTAAAAAATAATTAATAAGTTTTAAAAATATTAACAGGTTTGTTTAATTTTTTTACCTAATCGGCGACCAGCGTCTATGGCCTGAATTTGGTTTTGCTCCCAGTAGGCATAATCAGTTCGGAGCTTCTCAGGAGCGGCAGCAGAACCTCCTAGCGATCTGATTACTTCACTAATCACACGACCATCGTTCCAGTCAGTCTGAACAAAAGAAATGCTGTTAATGTATAAACTTTTAGTTCACTTTGTGTTACAGATAAACACTTTATACAAAATGGAAAGAAGAAAAATATTGAAATGTAAAGTGCTAAAGTAGAGGCAATTAGCAAATATGGTCCGTCCCAAACCCTTTTCTCAGTGCGTCATAGTTGTTCGAATTCTCTCTTCGTAAACGCATTAAGCTAGAAGTGACAGAAAAAAACGTGAGTCTATGATTATAATACATAGAACTTAGAAAATTACGTATCGGTCACGGGTATTCGCATATTAAAGCGAATTCTACTTACGAACGTATAATTGGTTGGAGTTTAGAATACGCTAAATAGATATCCAATCAATTATGCATATAAATATAATTTGACACAGATGATCTTGATAATGACAGTGACAGTACTTTCACAATGTCAACTGATAAAATGATAATTGCCGTTCCAGGTTAGTATTTTCAGACATTTTACCTACAGTGCAAATGAAATTTTGTATTTATTGTCATAAAAATATTTTAAATATTCCGAAATATACCGAGAATGAACAAAGACTAATATTAAAATTATTAAATTAGTTTCAATTAGAAAAAGAGGCTGAGTTATCTTTATTAGTCAGTTTCTGTCGTTCGCGAATCAGATTGTGAATTCCGGAATGATATTGAGAAAATATCTTAAACTAATACCGTTATGAATATTTATATGTATTAAAACGGTTCTTTTTAGAACCACGACATTTTCTTGAAATGTAAGATATAATTGATACCAGCCACATATCTAGTGTAATCATTGATTTTAAAGAATCAGATTCTGAATGGAATTATGGATTGTTTGAAATATATTATTCATTTTTGTTATTCATAAAAAAGAAGGTAAACTTACATTCGGTATCTTGTTTTTTAAATAAACTCCATTAACACGATTTCATCTGGGTACCGGAACTGGTAGATTAACTCAAAAATCAACTGCTTCACTATTTAAAACTATTTATATTGTTTTTTTAACTAAACTTTATAATCTTCTTTCATTTGCACACCAAATCTGGTAGAATAACTCAAAAATCAACTGCTTTACTATTTAAACTATTTCCACTATTTAATGACAAATCTTCACAAAATTAAACTATTGGCTGCCACAGAAACTTATCAGAAAATTACTTATCCAAATATGACTGATTTAAATCGATGTTATTTTATCACAGGAATGTTTACTTTGATGCCTTGCAATTGCAATTGTCATTGCAATATGCCCGTGTGTTTGTAATAAATAATAATAAATCCATAAACGAATCTAAGCTAATTAAGCACTTTCCTTGGAATGTATAAAATAGAACAGAATAGAACAGAATTATGACAAACTGCTATGCATTAAAAAAAAATAACCTTTTCACATTTAGCCGATTACGATCCTACAACTGTCAGATTTAACTAAAATGTCATGCAATAATTCTCGACATTCTTTAAATCCTATATGACGTCAAAATTAGTGACGCACTGAAAAAAGGGTTTGGGACAGACTGTATGTACAAAAGAGTAATTATTGCATAAAATTTAGAATTAACTATTATTGTGACAAATACTTACTGTAAAATTGTTAATAGGTCTTTCTAATCTAGAGTTGACCCATCTAAGCGTTGCATAAAATCCTGGGGATCCGGGTTTCATGAAGTACGAAAGATACGTCATACCGGAGAGCTCATCCAGCCACGGAGACGCTAAATATTCCGGTTCTAAGACTGCAGGAATTCCTAAATCTTTCTGGGCTATGTTCATAGCATGGCGACAGTTTTCTATCTCGTTCGACCGATCTAAAATGTTAAAAATATTTGGTATATATGCCAGAGTTGCTTTAAAAGTAAAGGATAAAAATTATCTTTAATTATTTAATAAATATTTAATAGTGAATATATAAATAAAAAAATATACTTAAATCTACAAAATAAATAATTATATACATTTATAAATCAAAACAGTAACATATATAGGATATAAAATACAAAATTTAAAAATCAGGAAACATCTTCTGTGCGAACAAGCATAATCTCAATTAACACTATCTTGCCGTAATCAAGAGTACAATGTATTTAACAATGTAGCCTTATGTAAGTTTACTTGTAATATACTCATGAAATTCAATTATACTCAATATAAATTAAATATTGGCATAATTTTTAATCTATAACAACAGTAATATTTCTTTTGGTATAACCTTATCGGGAAACTGGTGATTAGCAGGAAATTGTAGTACTCAAATCTGGTTTCTTTTAGTAGATAAGTAAAATTATCGGAAAACGGCGATCAGCAGGATATGACAGCACTCAAATCTGACTTTATCTTTTATTTCTAAATCGTCTAATATTTTTTAGCATATTCTACAGAAATTATCTTCTTCTTCTTAGGGTGCCTGTCCGTTCCGAACGTTGGCGATCATTCTGGCTATGATGATTTTGTTGGTTGCTATACGAAATAGCTGTGTTGAGGTCTTTCTATACCATGCTCTCAGGTTAGCAAGCCAGGATATTCTTCTTCGTCCTGGGGCTCTTTTTCCTTCAATTTTACCCTACAAAATGCATTGGAGTAGCTCGTATCTGCCGCGGTTGTGTTCATCCTCCGCAATACTTCTGCAATGGTGACTTTGTCTGTCCATGGTATCTTCAGGATTCTTCTGTATAACCATAATTCAAACGCCTGAAGTTTTGACAGAGTTTCCGCCTTCAATGTCCACGTTTCTACCCCATACAGAAGCACTGAGTACACGTAACATTTAAGGAGCCTTATTTCTGTTTTCAGGGTGATATCATGGCTTTTGAACACAGAGCTCATAGCCAAGAATGAACTTTTGGCCTTTCCGATGCGACATTTAATCTCTTGGGTATTGTCCCACGACTCATTGATTATAGTTCCCAAGTAATTGTATTGTGAGACACGTTCAATTCTCATTTGGTTCACATAAAGATTTGCTTCAGTTATGTTTTGCTTGCTGATGATCATTAGCTTGGTTTTGCTGGTGTTTATATCCAGTCCATAGGTTCTACTTGTTTCTGTTATTTTGTTCATTAAGTTTTGCAGCCCTTCTATGGTATAGAAATTATCTAAGAGAAAAAAAGCTAAATAGTGCTAAAAAAGTTTTTTGTTAATACCATAAAAGTCGAAAATATATGTCTGAATAGAAAGGTTTATGAGAGAAACTTTTCTTTTAGTATCATTGGTCCACTGTCTGGTTCTTCTGATACCTTTGGACTGAGTCTTTTGGTTGGACTCGTGAAAGAGACCTTTTACATATTTTTCCATGTTCCTATTTTTGTTTTGTTTCACTATAGCGTCTGATGATTACTCTAATCTTCTTATGTATGTTAAATGAGTAGTGTAATTTTTGTAGATTTTTTATTTCACAGAATTTCTTATTCAACTTTTTTTTCTTTCTTATTTTCTTTTGTATTTCTTTGTGTATCTTGGCATATCTTGTTTTGTCTACAGTTTTAATGATCGTTTTTCTTTATTAACTTAGATATTACATCAGTCATCCAGTTTTTTTCTTTTTCTAGCACTTTTTATTTAGTTTAAACTTTTTCCATTGGATGTTTCCATGCTGATCTTTTCTTTTTTTGATTGTAGTAATTCTTGATTTATCCCTTTTTTAACATTAAACTTTTTCCCTGTTTCTAAGTGAAGACATCAATTTTCTGTTTCGATTGTTTTAGATTTAACTTGATTTCAGTAACAATTAGGTTCTGATCAAAAGCAACGTCAGCATCTGGATACTTCTGTGCAAATTTGATAGAATTTTTGTATCTTCATCCTATCATGAAATAGTCTACTCGGTTTCAGGTTGCAGATCTTACAGGTGCTTGTTATTACCATTTCTTTTTCTTTGACAAATTCGACCAATCTTTCTCCGCTTTCATTACGCTCGCCCAGTCCATGTTCTCAAATCACATCTTCGCATTTTCCCTTGATCAATTTTTGAGGAACTGCTGAATTGTAATGATGATTATAAAGGGGCATTAATAATAGAAAATTATCTCTTGCATAAAAACAAAATAAATAAATAATAATAATAAATAAATAAATTATAAATATATAAGATCGAAAGCAGAATGTAGAAGTTCATGCAACGAGGGTAATAAAATAGGCAAAAATGCACAAAGGCAATGACACAGTACTTTACAAATAAAAAGAGAGGAACTGTTTTTAATGAAGAGTACTACTGCCTAGTTTTTGGATGTAACGCTACTGGCTTAAACAAAAATAAATATCTTAAAAAAATATAAAGTGATCCTACATGGTACGTGGAGATCTCCAGATGGCATCCCAGATAACATAATAAACGCTGTTAAGAACTTCTCATAAAGAATGAGAAAGAAGTCTAAAAAGAATACACTAGACTTTGAGAAAAGACAAAAAGCAACAGCAAGGTGTTATGAAGAATGTTGCAACATAACAGAAAAAAAAACATTACAGAGAAAAAGAACCAAGCGAATCGGCGAATGCAACAGAAGAATATAAGAGACTGAGAAAGTAGGATATAATTAGAAGGGATAGTAAGATAAAAAGATAGCGAGTAGGATAGAATAGATAAAGATAAAAGGTGGCGGGTAGATACTCTTCTACGTTCCCGGTAAAAGATATATCTATTTCAGAGATGCCGACCACGTAAGCCATAATTATCATTCAAATTTCTGGTACCTGGTGGAAATTATGCCCTAGGCCCACTTTTTCACCTAGTTGTTGAAGTTTCCCATCCCATATTCTACTCGGATGTCAGGCAGCAACAACGTCAGTACTAAGATAGATCGTAAAGAAAATGATCTTGGATCAGTGTATTATCGGATACTAGAAATTTTAATGGCTTTTAGATTGAGGTGGAGAAAGCAACAGAAAACTATTACATTATTTGCCACCAGTTTAATAATCATGACAATTGAAATGCAAGATAAGACCCTCAGTCCCCAGCAGACATTTGATAGTCAGCGGTTGCTAAGAACTCCAATGAGGAATTTAAAAATTAATTGGACCGTAGAACGAAGAAGGCTTTTTCAAGGTAACAAACTACATAATTTAATAATAAAAATGACCAGACTAAAAATCGATATTCTTGGAATTAGTGAAGTTAGATAGCTGAGTAATGCTAAAGGCCTAATGTCTAACAAGCAATAGGACTACTATGCTGGAAGCGATAATCAGTATTTCAATGATTTCAATTCCTAAGTAGGCAGAGAGAAATGCGAATTTGATTGGAGAAAATGGACTTGGTGAGCGCAATGAAAGAGGAGACAGTTTGGTCGAATTTGTCCACGAAAAAGAAATGGTTATAACAAACACGTTACACCAGCTTAAGAAAATTGTATAGTTAGCACTTCCCTCGGGATTCAGATAAAATCATAAGAAACCAGATAGACTATTTTATGATAGGAAGAAGACACGTAAAAGATACAGTTGTTGCTGAAATCAGGATAAACCTAAATCAAACTAAACAAAGCCTAAAAAGATATAATATTGATCTCTCTACACCTCTACATCAACAAGCAGGAAAACAAAAATAAACGTTGAAAAAAGGATAAATCAAGAATTACTGTCTGCTTCAACTAACAACAGAGAAGATCGGGATGCTAACATCCAACGAAAGATATTAAAAGCCACAATATTCCAAATAAATAAAGATGAACTCTTATATACTTGAACTGAATACTTAAATTAATGCAGAACAGAAGAAACATTAAAACTGTAAACAAAACAAGATATGCCAGGATCATCATCATCACCATCATCATACTTCAGCCTTCACTTATCACGTCCACTGCTGGACATAGGCCTCCCTTAAACTCCTTTATTCTTTGCGATTTTGTGCTCTTTGTTGCCAGTTTTTGGTGATACGCCTGGTGTCATCAGTCCAACGTGTAGGTGGTCTTCATCTACTACGTTTTTCTGCTCTTGGCCTCCAATGTGTAATTTTGGTCGTCCATCGCATCGTGAGTTATCTGTGTATTTATCACCTGAAGCTACGTACGAAAGCATTGAAATAAACTAATTGGCAGCAACGGGCATCTAGCAGCAGATAACAAAACAAAAATACGAACATGAAAAGAATATATACATAGATGATATAGATATAGATTTCAAAATGAAAGAACTAGGTCCAAGGATATCAGAAGAACGATATTAACATTAAAGATAAAAAACATGAGAAAAATAATGTAGCATTGTAAAGTACTTTCTTATTTTTACTAATATTTTCTTACCTAATTTTCTCCAGTGTGGTAAGAGACCAGGCCGACAGTAATCTACTAAAGCAGACAGTAACACACCAGAATTCCAATCGGTAGTAAGGTTGGAAACTTTGCATTCTGGTAGAACCGCTTGTAGCCATGATAGCATGAGTTTTCGAGGAGGAAATTTGGATCGTCCGATCTGGTAGTGGACGATTAGCGACCATATTAAACCTAGGATTAGTTTTAAGTTGCCGTTAACTATGTCCGTGTTACCTGTAAATTAAGATTATTATCAAAATGCTAATTACACGTTTATAGCGTCGTGAAGAATAAAAGAGTTCAACAATTGGAATAATGATAACAATATTGTTAATATTGATAAAAACCATAAAAATTGTATAAATATAATAAACTATGAAACTATGAAAGTCCCTCTTCTTCCTCAGCTTTTCTCTTTTTAGAGGTCGCTGTTTCTTTTTTACACCTTTCTCCCTTAAACCCACTGTCACATAGTCCTTCCATCTTCTTCTTGGTTTTCATCTACCTCTATTTCCTCAACTTCTAATTCTATTCTTTGTTTAATGTAGTAATCACGTCGTTCCTGATCTTTTTCCTTTTAGTTTTACCTAATATCTACCGTAACATTTTTATTTCAGCTAACTCCATCTTCTTTTTTTGAACCCTCTTTAAAGGCCACACTTCACTGCCATATACCAATACAGGCCTGACTACACTCTTGTTTATCTTTGCTTTAAGTCCTTCTCCAATTTTTTTATCATAGAGTATCCCGCTGATTCGCTTCCAGTCAAAACAACTAGCTTGTATCCTATGTGCTATTTCTTGATCTAGTGTCCCATTTTCCGTTATGTAGGAGACAAGGTATTTAAATTCTCCTACTTTTCCCCAAGAAATTCGATGTCTCCAACCATTCCCGTTCCTCCCAACCACATATACTCCCTTTTGGACCTACTTACCTAAAATCATATATATATATATATATATATATATATATATATAATATATATATATATATATATATATAGCGAGTGTTTGCAACTTTAATTTTGTCGCTTCTCGCATCCCAATCGCCATAATTTTTTATCGGCCCAGTCTCCTTCTTGAAGACCTCTATTTTCCATTTCTATATGCATATTGGATATCCATTTCTTTCTTGGCCTTCCCCTTTTATTTCTCTGTGTAGGTCTCCAGTTCCAAACCTTTCGTGGTATCCCTTCTTCGTTCATCCGTCTCAGGTGTCCATACCATTTTAATCGTTTTTCGGCTATCGTATCCATTATTGTGTTCTTTACTTTCATTCTCTCTCTTATGTTTTCATTTCTTATGTGGTCAAACAAAGTTAACCCGGAACATCTTCTTCAGTACATCATTTCCGTTGAGAGGAGTTTTTGTGACATATTATTGTTAAAGACCCACACGTCAGCACCGGCTGAATCATAGCCTGATATAAATAAAATATATTTATATTATATAAAATATATTTAAATTATGTACATAAAATCATACATCTCTAAGAAATAATACAAGAACATATACTATTGCCTGGGTTTTCTGCTCGTTTAACGTAAGTTTGTTACAGTTAAACTAGGATTAAAATTTTTCCAACATTCCCTGTCTCAAAGTAAGCAGGACATCCATTGTCCTCCTTCCTGACATAAACCAAACTGGTCTTTTCTTATTGATGTCTCCCTCCTTAACCTTCGCTCTACAGTTCTCTCGCAAAGTTTTATTGTGTGTGACATTAACTTTATCTCTTTATAGTTATTAAAGTTCTAAATGTCCCCTTTATTTTTATACAGTCATACCATGACGCTCCCCTTCCATGCATTGGGCATCCATTCTTTCTCATATATCCTACTTATCATTTGCCACCACACATCAACTTATTTGACTTATAGAGCCTTCCAAACCTCCACAGTTACTCCATCAGATCTTACTGCCTTATCATTCTTCATCCTTAAAAGCACAACAACCTCATCTCTTGTTATCCCCGGTATTATATTCTGATTTGGGGTCCGCATCCTCTGTCCCGTGGTATTCTTCATTTCCTTAAAATATCATTCTCTCTCCTGTTTTTTAAATAATTTTCCACTATTTTTTAAATAATTTTAAACTGTTTGTCCTGGTTTAGTGTAGTGTTATGTTCAATTGTATGTTTAATTTTAAGTTTATGGTATTCTGCGATTGTTGGGTAGCCCAAAATTGACGAAATGCCCCTGAAGATGCTCTAGGAAGCGAAAGTGCTTGGGCAAGATTTAATTAATAAAACAGTGCTCGATATTTGCCTTTCATTTTATCAAAAAATATTACTTTTATAATATATTTCAACAGATGATTTCTTCGACCACCCAACTTCATATTAACTGAACAATGTCATCTTTAACAGCTTTTCAATTGCGAAAGAAAGCAATCTCATATATCTTACATCATGACTGTTATTATCGATCTAAAAAACTTACTTACAAGTTTCTTTGCCAATGCTCATAGTAGAAGCCTAGACTCGATCCAAGACACGTGGCATTTGATAAATCTGAGCTAGGTGGTTATTCTGAGGATGCGATCGCTTTGCAAACTCTTCATCATAAGGAAAGTTGGTCCTGCCAATTATATCCTGTTTCATATTTCTTGCTCGGAGTCTAGATTGTCTGTTATCGAGCAGCCGGTATTGTCAGATTGTCTGTTATTGTTAGTTATAGATATTTAAGTTTTCTGTCATAATTAATTTTCTTCCTCATATTTTTACAACAAAATTGATATCGTTGCATTGCCACACTCTACATAGCCTACAGTATTAGAAAAAGAAGATCCTTCTCCCTGACTATTATTTATTTAGTTTATTAAAAAATTCTAGTGAAGTACTTTTGACATATATGGAGATTCGCATGATACACAAACATTATCGTAACCACGTGCACTATTTTTAGCTGCTGAAAGTGTGTGGGTTCCTCGGAATTTTATAAATTTCAATATTAGGTAGGTACCCACGATCTTCGTGACGTAGCTATAGTTACATTTATTTTTCATTGAATTGTGTTTATACACTATATTTGTAACGCTTAATTCAGAGAAAAAATGGCGAATCATTATAATTCTACTAAAAAAATGTGCTGTAACTTTTTTATAACTTGTGTAATGAATTTGTTAAAAGATCATTAAGAAAACCATTTATTGTTTTGCGTACTTTATATAACGTACATTGTTTTGATTATTTTTCGGCAGCACAAACTGAAAGTAATCTTTTCATTGATAATTTACGACAGAAAGTTAAAATTTCCGCTGAGGGAGCGTTTATAATATTTAGTTATAACATAATAGTTTGTAATAATTTTCCGTGTAAAAAACTAATTACTCATGACACGAAAGAATGGTAAATACAGTAATTATTTTAAAATACATGACAATTATCATATTTACGAATTTTGTAAATAAATAAATAAATATCGGAGTAGTACCAGCAGAATGGAAGGAATTCTCCTACTACCGATACTTAAAAAAGGAGACTCGAGAAATACTGAAAATTATAGAGGCATTAGTCTGATGAATAGTACATTAAAATTGCATAGAACCAGGAGAACCAGAATGCATAGAACTAAAAGAAGGAATCAATATGATAATATTGAACGGATACCACATGGGAGCGCTTAAAATCACGATACTATGCCATGCCGATGATGCAGTACTAATTGCTGATAACGAAGATGATCTACAAAGGCATCTTCACACCCTCAATATCATAGCAAACAAACTTAATATGAGAATATCAGTAGAAAAAACTAAATGTATAGTGATAAGTAAAGAGCCGCGTAGACGCAAACTAGATCTAGACGGTAAAATTGTAGAACAAGTAATAAAATTCAATTACCTAGGAGTAGAGATCACTAGTGACAGAGATATAAGAAGAAACCACCAGGCAAGCATCAAAAGCAGCAAGAGTAAGTGGTTGCCTCCGAGAAACCATATGTAGAAACAAATATCTGACCACGGAAAGCAAAATGAAAGTATACAAGACAACAGTAAGACCAATCCTAACATATGCAGCGAAGACAAGGTCCGATACAAGAAAGACGAAACAACAAATCAACAATATCGAAATAAAAGTATTAAGATCAATAGCGGGCATATCATTAAGAGACAGACAAACCAACAGAAGTACCGTATAGCAGAAACAGATAAAAATAACAAACCGTATAGCAGAAGATCCGTTGGAAGGCCCCCAAAAAGGTGGAAAGATAATGTACAGTCAACAACGACTGAAACAGATAAACGAATTTTGTTTATTATTATAGACTACATGGCCATGGGACATTTTTAAGGGGTCGTTTGACCCAGTATGAATCACATATAAATCAATACTACAAGATCCAATATTAATATGCCGTCAATTTTTATCGGTACAGGTGGTTACACAGGTAAGGTAAACTTATCACTCAAGGGGGGGAGGGGTATTTTGGTCAAAAATTTTCGTACGGCATTTATAACTTAGGTAGGTAATACAAAAATAATGACCTTACATCCTAATACCATACAAAAATATTGGTACCAGTAGCAGGGACAATCTTTAATTTTCAAATAATTTTGACCCAATTTTCGGTCATTTGATACGGCATTTATATACATAGTGGTACAGGGTGTTGTGGTAGCTGTTCAATGGAAAACGTAATCTTGAGTCCTTCCAGTTACTTGTTGGTTAATATTATTAGGACTTTCCGTGGTTTTAGTAAAGAACTCAAGACCGTAAATGAAACTGTTTAATACTTCTATGTAAACGTAAAAGTAAAAAAACTAAAAAACTTTGTATTGATGAAATAAAAATAAATATTACAAATATATTATTATTAATGCATGTTGCTCGTTCGATGTCTTGAAACAGAATGTTTCTTCCGATTGGAGGGTTAAATTCAAGACTACATTATAAGGCGCTCCCTAACTTTCGCGTGATTGGTTGGTGGGTGGGTCCCAATTTAAAAATTGGCGGGTTTCATGTTTATTAAAATGACAATAAAATTGAGGTATTGTGGCACATTATATCGCTAAACAATTTATTAGCAATATATTGTGGTATTGGTACAAAGCGGATGATACTCACATTTTAGGATTAAGCTGACTATTACAGTGTTATTAGAAATTAAAATTTATTTTTCTTTTGACATTATGTAGGTAAAATTAAATTCTGACATTGTGTTTATTTAATTTTGATATGCTAGTGATGCTTTTTTTTTATTAGATATAGAGATATTGTTTTAATTTTTTTGTTT